CCCGGTTGGGGCGCCGGATTCTGTCCCAGTTGCCCCTCTTCCAGGCCAGCTCTCTGCTGTGGCCTGGGAGTGCAGTGAAGGATGGCCCAGGTGCTTGGGCCCTGCACCCCATGGGAGACCAGGAGAAGCACCTGGCTCCTGCCATCGGATCAGCGCGGTGCGCCGGCTGCAGCAGCCATTGGAGGGTGAACCAACGGCAAAAGGAAGACCTTTCTCTCTGTCTCTCTCTCTCACTGTCCACTCTGCCTGTCAAAAAATAAATAAATAAATAAAATAAAATGCCGGCATCCAAAATAGGTACTGATTTGAGTCCCAACTGCTCCAGCTCAGATCCAGTTCCCTGTTAATGGTTTGAGAAAAGCAGCGGAAGATGCCCAGGTGCTTGAGCCCCTGCACTCCCGTGGGAGACCCGGATGGAGCTCCTGGCTCCTGCTTTCAGCCTGACCCAGCCCTGACTGTTGCCACCATCTGGGAAATGAAACAGCGGATGGAAGATCTCCCTCTCTCTCCCTCTCTCCCTCTCTCCCTCTCTCCCTCTCTCTTAGTAACTCTGACTTTCAAATAAATAAATCTTTTAAAAAAAAAGTTCACGGCAAATGGAATAAAAAAATTTCTCAGTAGTGTTAATCCTCATTTTGATGGACTCTAGTAAAAAAAGAAAATCCCTGCTTAAGACAATTCCAGGCTTATACGGCTTCGCTGACTAATTCTACCAAACACTGAAGCATCCCAATCTTACCCAAAGTGTTTCAGAACGTTAAAAAAAGAAACACTCCCTAACTCCTGAATCTAATATAACCTTGACATCTCAAACCTGCCAAAGATAAAACAAAAGGAGAAAATTATAATCTGGCCTCATTCATGAAAATATGCAAAAATCCTAAACAAAATATTAGCAACTATCAAAGCAATTTATTTGAAGGTCAAATGACCAATTCACTTTTGAAAATGTGTTCAATCTATTAGTTTGCAAAGAAAGTCAAGTTAAAACTATAGTGCAAGGTAGACCTTCCAGCTGCAACAGGCTGGGGCTTCTGCTGATGGGGAGGAGGCATCAGCCCTGGGATGGTACAGCTGACGGAGCTCACCAGCCTCTACCACCGTGCTGGTTCATCACCTTGAAGAACTACGATGGCCAAGCGAAGCCCATTCCAAGGCAGGGCTCTGTGGAGGGCTTTGAGCCATCAGACAGCAAGTGTCTGCTAAGAGCAGCAGGGAGAGGAGCTCCAAAGACGAAAGTTTCAGGTGGCCTGTTCAAGCCTGCGGAGAGCGAACACAGGTGGATTCAAGAAGAGGGATGAAAAGGGCAAGAGTGAGAAGAGCAAAGCAGCGCAGTGACAGGCACTGAATTCCTGTTTTCACCAACTAACCCCCCAACTGCTATTCTTCCTTTGATTCTTCCTTTTGGCCACAAGGCTAGATTTCTGGCTCCCCATAGGTACTGTTTTCATGTGCAGTTGGGGTCACCTGGGAGAGAAGGGTTGAGTGTTTGTGGTCAGAAGCCAGTTTAGAGCCGGCGCCGTGGCTCAATAGGCTAATCCTCCACCTTGCGGCGCCGGCACACCGGGTTCTAGTCCCGGTCGGGGCGCCGGATTCTGTCCCGGTTGCCCCTCTTCCAGGCCAGCTCTCTGCTATGGCCAGGGAGTGCAGTGGAGGATGGCCCAGGTGCTTGGGCCCTGCACCCCATGGGAGACCAGGAAAAGCACCTGGCTCCTGGCTCCTGCCATCGGATCAGCGCGGTGCGCCGGGCTGCAGCGGCGGCCATTGGGAGGGGTGAACCAACGGCAAAGGAAGACCTTTCTCTCTCTGTCTCTCTGTCTCTCTCTCTCACTGTCCACTCTGCCTGTCAACAAAGAAAAAAACAAGCCAGTTTATTTTAGATCTGGTTGGTTGATCGGTGCTGCATGGTTGTATTTTCCTAAATTATAGCTTAAAAGACTCTGTAGTCATCTCTGTGAAACACAATGTGTCCTTAAACCTGTCTATCACAAAACAAAAACAACTGCAATGCAACACTACCATCACACACACCAGACAGGCTAAAATTAAACATCCTGATAGAACTACATGTTGGCATGAAAATGGAGCAAGGAAAACTGCCATTCACCACTGGTGTTAGTATAAATTAATATAAGCACTTTGGATAACAGTTTGGGACTGTCTGCTGAAGTTTGAGTTACACATACTCTGTAACATAGCCGTTCTATTCCTAGGTAGACACTCTATAGAGGGGGTGTGTCCCTGGATCAACAGCATCAGCATTACCTAGCAACTTACTAGAAATGCAAACTTCACAAGTTTTATCCCGTACCTACTCACCCAGTAGCAATCTGTGTTTTAGCAAATACTGCACCTGCTTCTAATGCATGCTGACATTTGAGAACCAGGGGCTGGCATTGTGGTGCAGCAGGCTAAGCTGCCACCTGCAAGGCTGGCATCCTGTATCAGAGCACTAGTTCAAGTCCCAGATGTTCCATTTCTGAGTCAGCTCCCTGCTAATGTGCCTGGGAAAGCAGCAGAAGGTGGCCCAAGTGCTTGGACCCCTGCCACCCATGTGGGAAATCAGGGTGCAGTTCTGGGCTCTTGCCTTTGGCATGGCCCAGCCCCAGAAGTTGCAGCCATTTGGGGAGTAAACCAGCAAATAGAAGATCTCTTTCTCTCAGTTTTGCCTGTTGTCTAACTCTGCCTTTCAAATAAATAAAATAAAACCTTTCAAAAAATAAAATACAATTTGAGAACAACTACCTAAGAAAATAAGAGTATATGTCCAACAGGATACCTGGACAAGGATGTTTTTAACGATATGGTTTATAATATCTAAATACTGGAAGCAAGCAAAATGTCCATCAGTATCCTAATGGATAAAGACATTATGGAATAGTTATATAATACAATGAAACAATAAACATGAGTGAGTCCAAGCTATACAAAATAGCATGGATGACATGGTGAGTCGATATTTAATACACAAAAAAAGTTATATAAATATAGGGAAAGGCTCTTGTCACAATGTACGTATAGGGTTTAAGAACCTAAAACTACTTCAGTCCTAATCTTTTCTTAGAACTCCAGGCTGGAGGAGCTGGTGCTGGTTGGGCCACTGCCTATAATGCTGGCATGCCATATGGGCACTAGTTTGGATCCTGGCTGTTCCATTTCTGATCCAGCTCCCTGCTAACATGCCTGGGAAAGCACAGAAAATGGCTCAAGTGTTTGGGCCCCTGTACCCACATGGGAGACCCAGATGAAGCCCTTGGCACCCAGCTTTGGCCTGGCTCAGTTCTGGCCATTGCAGCCATTTGGTGAGTAAACCAGCAGGTGGAAGATTTCTCTGTCTCTCCCTATTTCTCTGTAACTCTGCCTTTCAAGTAAATAAATAGATAAGTCTGAAAAAAAAAAAAAAAAAGAAATCCAGGCTGGAATATAACTAGCATTTGCCATATAACATGCCCTCAGTTTATAGAATTCTCTCATTATTTTTTTAATAGGCAGAGTGGACAGTGAGAGAGAGAGAGACAGAAAGGTCTTCCTTTGCCGTTGGTTCACCTTCCAATGGCTGCTGCGGCCGGCACACCACGCTGATCCAAAGGCAGGAGCCAGGTGCTTCTCCTGGTCTCCCATGGGGTGCAGGGGCCCAAGCACTTGGGCCATCCTCCACTGCCTTCCTGGGCCACAGCAGAGAGCTGGACTGGAAGAGGAACAACCGGGACTAGAACCCGGCACCCATATGGGATGCCGGAACCACAGGCAGAGGATTAACCTATTGAGCCACAGCGCTGGCCCCCTCTTGCTCTTTATCATTATAATCTTCATAGTAACCACAGAGTACTTAATAATATGGATATATAATATTTGTTTAACTACTTCTTTCTTAATGGGTGTTCTAAGAACAATATTTAGGCTGCCCCTGAACTAAAAATCTATGAGGTGAGAGACCACCTGTCTGTCTTTTAAATAGTGACTGCTACTCAATAGTTCATTGAATCAATTTTCCAGTATAACTTTTTTAAAAAAAAGATTTATTTATTTTTATTTGAAAGAGTTACAGGGAGAGAGAGAGAGAGAGAGAGAGAGAGAGAGAGAGGGAGGGAGAAATACAGAGAGATCTTCCATCAGCTGGTTCACTCCCAAATGGCCACAGGAGCTGGAAGTCAGGAGCCTAGAAGTCCATCCAGGTCTCCCACACGGGTGTCAGAGGCCCAGGCACTTCGGCCATCTTCTGCAGCTTTCCCAGGCACATTAGCAGGGAACTGGATCAGAAGTGGAGAGGACAAGAATCAAACTGGTGCCATATGCTGGCACTGCAGGTGACAGTTTAACTAGCTGTGCCACAATGCTAGTCCCAGAGTTTAACTTTCTTGTAAGAAAAAATATTCCAGCCAATTTTACTAAACTTTGATTTAGTATAAACTGATTCTTTGTAAATTCTGTTTGTAGTGTATTAACCTTAGAGAATTCATCCAAATCTGGATGAATGACAGAATGTATGATTTAGATTTGGAAAATGAGACCATAGATTCTGGATGGAGTGGTCCTTCAATGTCATTGAATTTCCCTCTTCACATCTCTGTCTCAATGCAGCAGCAACTAGGAAATATGTAAGTATCAGACTTGTGAAACCACCTTTCTCAAACTTTCTGAGTATTAAACTATCCTGGTTTTCTTAAATGTACTTGATCTTGTTTTCTAGTTTGTGGTTTGGAACATATGACACTCTAACCCAGGCCTCTAGGGGGTGACTGGCAGAACAGGCCATTTGGAAGGCCTACTCCTCCGAAACCCTATCTTTACACTGCCTACTTGATGACAAGCGTTCAGCTCAATCCTAGAAGAGTGATTACGAGCTCTTCTCTGAGCTTTGGCTGTCAGGGCAAGCCCGTGGGCAGCCACAGGAGGGAGCAGCAGATGGTGCTCTGGGTATGGCTCAGCCTCAAGCAGCATGCACATTGGCTGGATCCTGTCAGGTTTTTCTTGGAATGTCCATTGTGATGTCATATGGAGTCATAGCCTTGAGGCAGAAAACTCTTTGGCTGAGAGGGGCATGGGGTTGAATGATGGCGCTAATTTGGGGGCTGGCCATCCCACTGCCATCTTATCTCAGCCTTTCACTATTATTTGGTCTTCTTGTTTGTGGATTTTGGGTACTGTTTTTTAGGTATCAGCAGTTGAAGCAGGTGGCAGCCAAGACAGAGGTATGTGATGCAATCTTTTCTTGTAATTCACTGCTCCCTGCCCCTGAAACTATCAATATCCCTGCTCTCTGGGGCATGGGAAGAACTGAATTGAAGGGAGAGTGGTTTTGACAGTGTCCTTTAACTCCATGTCAACAAACTTGAGCACCAAGTGTGTGTGTGTGTGTGTGTGTGTGCGCATATATTTGAGGAAAGTTATATATGTTATATATAGAGTTATATACATGCTATATATGAGGAAAGTTATGTATAACTGTATATATGTATATATATATAAAATTGATAACTTTGAGGAAATAGGATGTGAAAAGAATCAATAGAGGTTTAAATGTTGTTAAAGGCCGGCACCACGGCTCAATAGGCTAATACTCTGCCTTGCGGCGCCAGCGCACCGGGTTCTAGTCCCGGTTGGGGCGCCAGATTCTGTCCCAGTTGCCCTTCTTCCAGACCAGCTCTCTGCTGTGGCCCGGGAGTGCAGTGGAGGATGGCCCAGGTCCTTGGGCCCTGCACCCCATGGGAGACCAGGAGAAGCACCTGGCTCCTGGCTTTGGATCAGCGCAATGCGCCGGCCACAGCGCGCCGGCCACAGCGCGCCGGCCGCGGCGGCCATTGGAGGGTGAACCAACGGCAAAAGGAAGACCTTTCTCTCTGTCTCTCTCACTGTCCACTCTGCCTGTCAAAAAAAAAAAATGTTGTTAAAAACATGAGAGGGCCGGCGCTATGGCTCACTTGGCTAATCCTCTGCCTGCAGCGCTGGCACCCTAGGTTCTAGTCCTGGTTGGGGCACCAGGAACTAGTCCCGGTTGCCCCTCTTCCAGGCCAGCTCTCTGCTGTGGCCTGGGAGGGCAGTGGAGGATGGCCCAAGTGCTTGGGCCCTGCAACCGCATGGGAGACCGGGAGGAAACACCCAGCTCCTGGCTTCGGATCAGCGCAGCGCTGGTGGTAGCAGCCATTTGGGGAATGAACCAATGGAAGGAAGACCTTTCTCTCTGTCTCTCTCTCACTGTCTATAACTCTCTCTCTGTCTCTCTCTCTCTCACTGTCTAACTCTGCCTGTCAAATAAAAAATTTTTTAAAAATTTTTAAAAAAATGGGAGGTATTTTGAACCAGTTATATCTATAAAATGCATTCTGCGACAGTTCAGGTTTGAGATGTCCTTAAAACGAGGGTGGGATTTTGAAGGTGGATAGGGTGGAGGAGGCAGGTAGTAAAAGATAATAGATTGGGGAAAAGCATAGGAAGAGGAAAAGCACAGGATGTGTGTGAGGGCACCAGTCTGGATGCTGTATAGATGTGTAGGGAACCTACTCAGAGAACAGGCTGGAAAGTTGACAGAGGTTGCCTTGGGAAGGGTTTTGAATATCAGGCTGAATACTTTATATAAATATGATTCTGTATGCAACTGAAACATGAAAAGATTTTAAAGCCAGGTAAAGATGTATTTAGATCTGTGCTTTAGAACATTTATAGGGGCCAGCACTATGGTGCAGTGGGTTAAAAGCACTGGCCTGCGGTGCCAGAATCCCAAATGGGTGCCAGTTTGTCACGGCTTCTTCACTTCCAATCTAGTTCCCTGCTAGTGGTCCAGGAATGCAGTGCAGGATGGCCCAAGTCCTTGGGTCCCTGTACCCTTGGGGGAGACCTGGAGGAAGCTCCTGGCTCCTGGCTGCGGATTGGCTCAGCTCCAGCCATTGCAGTCATTTGGGGAGTGAACCAGTGGATGGAAGATCTTTCTCTGTCTCCACCTCTCCCTGTAACACTGTCTTTCAAATAAATACAATAAATCTTTTTTAAAAAGAACATATATGGGAGCCGGCGCTGTGGCGTAGTGGGCTAAAGCTTCTACCTGTATTGGAATTCCATACGGGCACCAGTTTGAGTCCCAGTGGCTCCTTTAAAAAAAGAAAAAAGAACATATATAGATTTATATGTTTATTTTTATAGGAACATATATACATATTTATTTATTTGAGTTACATTCTGAGAGAGATCTTTCATCGCCGGTTCACTCTCCAAATGGCTGCAATGGCTGGAGCTGGGTGGGAAGGCCCAAGCACTTGAGCCATCCTCTTCTGCTTTCCCAGGCACATTAGCAGGGAGCTGGATTGGAAGTGGAGAAAAAACCAGCACTCATAAAGGGAAGCCTGCATTGTAGGCAGTGGTTTAACCCATTAGGCCATAACACAGGCCCCAAGACAAACATTTTTAAAAAATTTTTTTAAGATTTATTTATTTATTTGAAAGAGTTACACAGAGAGAGAAGGAGAGGCAACGAGAGAGAGAAAGAGAGAGAGGTCTTCCATCTGCTGGTTCACTCCCCAATTGGCCACAATGGCTGGAGCTCCACTGTTCCAAAGCCAGGAGCCAGGAGCTTCCTCCTGGTCTCCCATGTGGGTCCTGGGGCCCAACGACTTGGGCCATCTTCTACTGCTTTCCCAGGCCATAGCAGAGAGCTGGGTCAGAAGTGGAGCAGCTGGGACCTGAGCCGGTACCCATATGGGATGCTGGCACTGCAGGTGGTGGCTTTACCACTATGCCACAGTGCCACCTCCCCCCCCTTTTAAATTTTTAGAAGATTTTTATTTATTTATTTGAGAGAGAGAGTTACAGAGAGTGAGAGAAAGGTCTTCCATCTGCTGGTTCACTCCCCAAATGGCTGCTGGGCCTATCCGAAGCCAGGAGATTTTTCCAGGTGTCCCACATGGGTGCAGGGCCCAAACACTTGGGCCATCCTCTATTGCTTTACCGGACCATAGTAGAGAGCTGGATTGGAAGAGGAGCAGCTGGTACACAAACTGGTGCCCATATGGGATGCCAGCACAGCAGGCAGAGGCTTAGCCCACTATGCCACAGTGCTGGCCCTGTGAGACAGATTTTCAAGAAACTGACTCACACAACTGTAAAGTTAGACATTTTGCAAGGCTAAATTGACATAAAATTAACTATCACCATCTGATGTTTTCTTCTTCTTTTTTTTTTTTTTTTTTGTCTTAGGGACAGGCAGAGTGGACAGTGAGAGAGAGACAGAGAGAAAGGTCTTCCTTTGCCGTTGGTTCACCCTCCAATGGCCGCCACGGCCGGCACGCTGTGGCTGGCGCATTGCACTGATCCGAAGCCAGGAGCCAGGTGCTTCTCCTGGTCTCCCATGGGGTGCAGGGCCCAAGGACCTGGGCCATCCTCCACTGCACTCCCTGGCCACAGCAGAGAGCTGGCCTGGAAGAGGGGCAACCGGGACAGAATCCGGCGCCCCGACCGGGACTAGAACCCGGTGTGCTGGCGCCGCAAGGTGGAGGATTAGCCTAGTGAGCCACAGCGCCGGCCTTGATGTTTTCTTCTAAGAATTTTATAGTTTAGCTGGTAGATTCAGGTCTTTGCTCCGTTTCGAGTTAATTTTTGTACAGATATTAAATAAAGGTTCAAATTCATTCATATTCAGTTGTCATTTCATCATTTGTTGAACAGACTTTCTTATCCCCTTTGGTCATAGTATCCTTGCAGATAATTATTTGATAGTAAGTATAAGGATGTATTTCTAGATCTCAGTTCTCTTCTACTGATCTATGTGACTGTCCTTATAACATTACCAAGCTGTGTTGTAAAAAGTTTTAAAATCAGGGCCAGCACCGTGGCTCACTAGGTTAATCTTCCGCTTGCGGTGCCGGCATCCCATATGGCTCCAGGTTCTAGTCCTGTTGCTCCTCTTCCAGGCCAGCTCTCTGCTGTGGCCCGGGAAGGCAGTGGAGGGTGGCCCAAGTGCTTGGGCCCTGCACCCCATGGGAGACCAGGAGGAAGCACCTGGCTCCTGGCTTCAGATCTGCGCAGCAGGCCAGCTGCAGTGCACCGGCCATAGCGGCCCTTTGGGGGGTGAACCAACGGAAAAGGAAGACCTTTCTCTCTGTCTCTCTCTCTCTCACTGTCTAACTCTGCCTGTCAAAAAAAAAGTTTTAAAATCAGGAAATATGAATCCTTCAGTTTTGTTCTTTCTCAAGATGGTTTTGACTATTCAGGAATGCTTGTAATTTCACATGTATGTTAGGATGAACTTTTTATTTGAATTCTTATCAAAAAGTCATTGGGATTTTGACAGGGATTCATTACACTGAATCTGTACACTGTTTTGGGGAATGTTGCTATTTTAACAATATTAAATCATTCAGTCATGAACAAAGAATGTCTTTGCATTTGTTTAGTCTTCAATTTCTTCAAAAATACTTTGTAGTTTTCAGTGTCTCTCTTGGATTAAGTTTATTCTTGGGACGGGATGCAGCTCTCATTCTATATTGGACTGTGTAGGTTTGAGTCCTGATTCCACTCCCAACTACAGTTTCCTGCTAATACATACTTTGGGGGGCAGCAGGTGACAGATCAAGTATTTGGGTCCTCGCCATCCATGTGAGAAATGCTGCTTGAGTTCCAAACTCCTGGCTTCAGCCTGGCCCATTCCTGACTGTTGTAGGCGTTTAGGGAGTAAAATGGATGGAAGATTTCTCTCTGTCTGTCACAGTCTCTATGCCTTTGAAATAAAAATAAATGAATAATTTAAACGTTATTCTTGGATCTTTTATTCTTTTTGATGTAAATCTCTTTGATGATAAAATGAAATTGTGTATTCTTTAGGAATTTCTATAGGTAGGGTATGTTACCTGTGGACACAGATGGTTTGATGTCTTCCTTTGCAATTTGGATGGCTTGTATGTCTTTTTCTTGCCTGGTTTTCTGCCAGAACTTCCGGTACAATATCACAACAGCTTCCTCCATTCCTTCCTGTTTCTTTTTCCTTCAGTTCAGCCTGGCAATTTTTCTGCTGAGGTGGCTGATTAAGTTCATGGTTCACACTCATACTAACCTCCTTACCAAAGGGTAGCTTAGCCACATCCTTAGCGTTTTCTTTGAACATATTTTCTCATTTTCCGCAATATGAGTGAGTTGATAATTCTCTAAACTTTACATTCTAGTTCCTTTTTGGCTTACTATTCTGCCTTCAGGTAGGTTCTTTCTT